TTAGGTAAAAGCTTTCAGAATGTTAATACATCACCTGAGGTGAGCCTGGGAGCATACTTTTGGCAAGAAACCCTTCCAAAGAGAATAGTCTGGAAAGAATACTTAGCTCAAGCTTGGAATTTACCTCTCCCAGCAGCTCACAGCCTCTCTCATTTCTCCCTATTAAATTATTCATTCGTTTTATATACTTAAAACTAGTAAAATGAATATTTTAAGTAGGTGCAATTTTTAAAAATTTTATTTACTTTTGAATGCTCAGACACATAATTTTCCTCTCCTTTAATTCTTCTCCTCAGTCCCCCAAGCCAACTATCAGTTTTTTGATACATTTTATTCTCATGTTTGATACTTTCATTTGGCCAAGTATTATATGCGGGACAGAAGGTCTCACTGAAAGACCTTTACTTGGCAGATGTCTCCTTAACCTGAATGCTTGCTCATCGTCTCTCCAAATGTTCCAACAATGCTGAGCAAACTATACTGCCTTTTCTCCACAGTGATATTAATATTTCTTTCTTTTGGCCGTTTCATTAAAGCTTATTGTAGTGCACACTCAGTGAGGCACCAAACATATGGCCGATTAGAGAAGTCAGTCTGTGGCAAACTTTATTTCAAGTTGTTTCATTGTCTCTTCTTCCCTCAAAAAGGGCTCAGTGTTTAATACAAACCCAGAAATGCTCCACTCACCTGGTTTATTTCAAAAACTACAGGTTTTTGAGTTTTCAGATTTTATATAAGCTATGCCATGGGCAGAAAAGTACTAGGAAAAAGCACTGAGGTGCCTGGTAGTGGAGCTTGCGGGATGCTGGCATGTCCTTGCTTTTACAGCTCTTTTTGTCAAAGCGTGAGTTTTGCAGTTGATACCATGCCCCATCTGTTGGCAGTTCCCTGATCTAGCTTTCCTCCCCCTCCATTTAGTGTTCAGACTCGCTGGCAAAACCCCATGGTACCACAGCCCTTGCAGACAGCTGGAAACCTGCAGAGCAGGACCCACCCACTGATTCCTTTGGTTTCTGAGCTTTTGAGACAGATCTGACTTGGAGAGCCCCCTAAGTAGAAGGTTGTAAGAAAGTCTCTGCTTTACACCTGTTAACTGTTCTGCAATCCAAGTACATCACCACACTTTCATCCTAAAGACACACAGGCAAAGTGTTGCTTGTGGCTTTCTGAAACAGTCAATGTTTTCATTTCAAGCATGCACTTTAAGTTTTGGAGTAAAGGCAGAGTGTCTCCTTCAGGGAGTGTGCCCCAGTGAGAGTAAAATTTAAATAAATTAACAAGGAGGGCATTTTGAAACTGATGGAAGTATTTCTGAAATTGTTTCCTGGGGAGACAGAAAGGGGTCTAAAGGAAAAATTATAGGCATTTTGAGGATGTATGGGGAAGAATTCACAGTAACTCATTGTGGTTTCTAAAGGCCGTCTTGATGCAGGAGAGAGGACACTTGCTTAAGAGCTCTGCTCCTTCAGTGACAGACTATCATAACGCACTTGTTATTTGGCTGAAGAAATCCAAATTACCAGATAAGAACATTTACTGTCATATAATGCCCGTGAAGCCGACTGAAGAGATTATAGACCAGTGCTGTCGTGAATACAGTTGTGTCATCCACTGCCCTGGCTGCAGGTGACCAGGCCTTTTGGGGGCACCTGACTGGAGATCTTCCAATACAGATGCTTGTCAGGAAGCATTTAACAAGAGGCTTCCTGTGTGCTGTTTTGGATCTGTCAGGAACCCTCTGGCCCTTATAGATTCCTGAATATTCAGGAATTAAGAGGAGAGGCACGCCTTTCCCGGGGCTGAGGAATCCAGGCATTTCTCTTTACAGTGATAAGTACCCTCTTCCTTTTTATGAGCTATACGGTAAAAGGTGATTGTTTGCAACTCTCTCTCTTTGATAGGGATCGTCTTATGTTTTGTAAGTCTGGAATTTTAATCTTTGTCTTTGCTGAGAATAACCACCTTGTAAGACAGTATAGATGTCCAGGCCATGTTGATTAAAACACCTTTGCTCCATCAGAGCTTTGGTCCCCTTGTCTGTCTTTCTTTCTCTCTTTCTCTCTTTCTCTCTTTCTTTCTTTCTTTCTAATTCCTTGGAGTGCGGAGGCCCGCTGAGCTCACTTTCTTGCCCGGGCTTCTAAGCCCCTCTCGAGAAGGCGCACTGTGCCTTCACCCACTCGAGAGGGCGCCCGGTGCCTACCTGCGGCAGCGCCAGCCCTGAGAACAGGGCTCTGTTGGCTTTCCGCGTAAACCAGGGGATATCACCCTCTTTCTCTCTCTTACTCTCGGAACCACCAGGTTCCGGTCCATTAAAGGACCAACAAGCGCTATCAGCCTCTTTCTCTCTCTTTCTTTCTTATCGTCGACTCCGGACCACCAGGTTCCGGTCCATTAAAGGACCAACAGACGCTCACCACTTTGTCTGCTAAATATAAGACCAAGTAGACTGTGCTTTAGATGTGTGCAAATTAAGATTCCATATCTGCGTTGGACAGCCTTTGGAGAAACATGGCTGCTTTGGTACTCTTTGAAATACTGATAGCTGTCAAACAGTCCTGTTTCCTTGTTTTGCCACTCTGAAGTTCAATTTCAAGTCCTAGATTGGCTGATTTGTTGATTTTGCTGAAAGCCCAGCTGCACTAACCGTCTCGATTGGCTGGGGCTTGTTGTTAACCAAAGCTCTGACTGCATTTTTTGTTCTCATTTATTGTAGATCTGTGCTGTACTAAACAGTAGCCACGATCCATGTGTGACTCTTTAAATTTAAATTAATTTAGTTAGATAATATTAAAATTTACCTTTTATAACATAGAAAGAGTCAAAATCATCAAAACATCAGTTCAGTTCAGTTCACTTGCTCAGTCATGTCCGACTTGTTGCGACCCCATGAACTTCAGCACGCCAAGCCTCCCTGTCCATCACCAACTATCGGAGTTTACTCAAACTCATGTCCATCGAGTTGGTGATGCCATCCAAGCACCACATCCTCTGTCGTCCCCTTCTCCTCGTGCCCTCAATCTTTCTCAGCATCAGGGTCTTTTCCAATGAGTCAGCTCCTCGCATCAGGTGGCCAAAGTATTGGAGTTTCAGCTTCAGCATCAGTCCCTCCAATGAACACACAGGACTGATCTCCTTTAGGATGGACTGGTTGGATCTCCTTGCAGTCCAAGGGACTCTCAAGAGTCTTCTCCAACACCACAGTTCAAAAGCATCAGTTCTTCAGTGCTCAGCCTTCTTCACAGTCCAACTCTCACATCCATACATGACCACTGGAAAAACCATAGCCTTGACTAGACAGACCTTTGTTGGCAAAGTAATGTCTCTGCTTTTTAATATGCTATCTAGGTTGGTCATAACTTTCCTTCCAAGGAGTAAGCGGTTTTTTAATTTCATGGCTGTAATCACCATCTGCCGTGAATTTGGAGCCCCAAAAATAAAGTCAGCCACTGTTTCCACTCTTTCCCATCTATTTCCCATGAATCGATGGGACCAGATGATGTGACCTTAGTTTTCTGAATGTTGAGCTTTAAGCCAACTTTTTCACTCTCCTCTTTCACGTTCATCAAGAGGCTTTTTTGTTCCTCTTCACTTTCTGCCATAAGGGTGGTGTCATCTGCATATCTGAGGTTACTGATATTTCTCCCGCGAAACATAGAGACCCAGAATAAAATGGTGATTGTCAAAGGCTTTGGGGAGGGAGGCATTGACACTTGATTTTTAATAGACACAAAGTTGTTTATGTAAGATAACAATGTTCTAGAGTTCTACTATGCAATTTGGTGCTTATGGTTAGCTGCTGCTTCTGCTAAGTCGCTTCAGTCGTGTCCGACTCTGTGCGACCCCATAGACGGCAGCCCACCAGGCTCCCCCATCCCCGGGATTCTCCAGGCAAGAACACTGGAGTGGGTTTCCATTTCCTTCTCCAATGCATGAAAGTGAAAAGGGAAAGTGAAGTGCTCAGTCATGTCCCACTCTTAGCGACCCCATGGTTAGCAGTACCGTACAATTAAAAATTTGTAAAAAGGGTAGAGCTCATGCTGTTACCTAAAGAAGAAGAAGAAATCCAATTCCTCAGTCACTCTAGTCAATGTTCAAGTGCTCAGTACCCACAGGTGACTGAGACTACCACATACATAGAGCATTCCCGTCCTTATAGAAACTTCTCTCAGATAGTGTTACTGACCTGGGTCCTAGGACTCATGGTAGAAATTGACAGGAAGCCAGAAGAGGAATTCGAGCAAGGCTTTACTGGGATTTGTGCTACCACACGAGGAAGCAAAAACAAGTGGTAGGTCCTGAGGAGAGTGAGCTGCTTCCTTAGATGGAGTGGAAGTAGAGGCAGCTATGTGGGTTGGACGTAGGGGGTCTGCCCATGTCCTTATCGGTGCTGAGTGCAGGGTGCATGTACAGAACCTTGCTTTTGCCCCCCACACCTCAGAAGTGGCAGTTGAGTTTTTCAGTTTTTGTATCTTGTTCATAATTTGCCCGAACTACACATATATGCAGTTACTTATAGTCCCTTGAGGTTATTTATTTATTTATTGTATTCTTTGCTCTAGGAGACATTTGTCTGGGTGCAGGCACTGCAGCAAAGAGTTCCAAGTCCCAGGTTCCAGCTTGTCTCAACAGCATTCGCTAAGCTCTATTCATTTGTCTAGAAATTTTTTTACATTCTTAGACAAAGCACATTCTCTGAATAAGTCATGGAGGTGGTAAATAACACACAACATAATTCAAACAAGTTTTTCAGTACAGAGAATTATATTCATTTATGAAACTGGAAGGCTGCAGGGTTGGTTTTAGTTAACTGCATAATAGCTAGTCAAAAACTTGTCTTTCTGTTTGTCTTTCTCTTCTGACTCATGTCAGCCATGATCTAACGGCTGCCTCCCCAAAACAGTTACCAGCAGTTTGCCCATAATTCCCACTACTAAATAGTTTTACAAAATGAATGGGATTTTCAGAACCTCAAGGAAGTGTTTTGTTTTGTTTTTTCCTAGGTATAAACACAAACTGTTACCGATACCAAGCTCTCTCCGCACATGGCAGGCCAGTAAATCCCAGAGACCAGGAAAGGAGGCCAGGAATACAACTTTTTTGGAAGGTAAGCTGATCAAGAAGATGGCAACTAATGTCTCAAAATAACCATCTTATCAGGGTCTAGATGCCAGGTTCTTTTATAGAACAGACAGTGGAGGGGTATGAGGAGGTAAATTGAAAAAAGTCATTAATCTTATAAATATCTCCTGGAATGGCAAGCCTCAGGAAGGGAATGTGTTAATTTCTTCCTTCCTTTAGCCATCCACAGATGGACAGGGTCCTGAACAAAAGAATTTTAATTTAACATTTAGGCAGAGGAGCAGGGTTCCCTGAAGCAGGCTATTAAGTGTGGATGATATCCTTTTAGTGAACAAAAGCAACCTGAAGCAAAGGTTAGAGTATAACAGACTCACCATGGAATCAGATCTTCCCTGTAACAAAAGCTTTCCTGAAATTCATCAGCCCAGATTCTATTTGTCAACCACCAAACAAAAATGTGACCAAAGAATAAGATTGGTTACATGGCTTATTCTAGGTATCAAAGTAAGGAATATGAGATGGCATGACTGATAATCAGTCTGATAATCAGACTGATAATACTTAAAAAGAGGGAGTGGTTGATGAGAAGGTTCCAAAATGTCTATGAATGCTCTGTATTAGGATTCTCAATGCAAGACAATTTTGCCCTGCAGGAAACACATGGCAGTGTCTGAAGACTTCATTAATTGTCAGGACTGGAGGTGTTCTACTGGAATCTAGTAGGTAGAAGTCAGGATTGAGCTAAACATCCTGCAATGCACATGGTAGTCAACAAAGATTCTGTGGCTGATGTCAACAGTGCTGAGGTTAATAAATCCTTTTCTATTTTATTCTACTACATGCATGCTAAGTCACTTCAGTTGTGTCTGACTTTTTGGACCCTAAGGGCTGTAGCCCACCTGGCTCCTCTGTCCATGGGATTCTCCAGGCAAGAACTTTTGTTCCTCCTCCAGGGAACTTCTCGACCCAGGGATCAAACCTGTGTCTCCTGCATTGCAGGCAGATTCTTTACTGCTTGAGCCACCAGGGAAGCCCATCCTATTATATGAAATGCAACTTAAATTTTAAAAGCAACTTTAATAATTAGCATACTGAAAAATACAGAGTTAGACTTGGCTTCAACCATGATCTGATCCAGAGTTTTGCCAAGTCTTACATATTTCATCTGCACTTTCCTGCAGTTGTGTTCACTCTTCCATTACCTAGGTTCTCAAATTGTCTTCCTTATTATAGTACCAATAGTGGTGACACTCTGATATTGTTGCACCCATGCAATAGGCGATCTAGTGAAAAGAAGCTTATTTTTCCAGTAGTTTTCACAAAACAGAGAGGAATCTTCTTCTTCAACACCAACCAGCGTTAGCTTCTTTCTTCCAATTAGCCAGAATTTTATGACACGTCTATTACTGAACCAGTCTATGGCTAAGAATTTGGACACGTTCACCTGTTGAGAATAGGAAGTGGGTCATTTTAGAAAGTAAAACCTGGACACACTGGCTAGGAGTGGGAGAAACTTATTCCACATAGACTACTAACAAATATCGATTGCTATGTTGGTGGATTGCATCATTGGTGACTACAACAGCACTTAAAAGTATAAGTGCAGAAATAAAAACTTGCAACATATGCTTGATCAGACAGCTGCTTTCTCACTGATTCCTTGTAATCTGATCCTTTTGAATCAGTTCCTTCAATACTTTACATAATATTTCAAATCAGCAAGAAGAGGTAATATTTATAAGACATTTTTACTTTCAATTTCATTGGTATGGCCATCTTTCATTAGTTGTACACCACAGAAAAGTCTCTGAATCTGTGTAACATACTTTCCCCTTTTTAAGAATGAAGGTAATAATGGTGCCAACTTTCTGGAATTGCTCTGAGAACTACATTTTTTAAGTGCATAATAACTTTAAGGAGTAACTATATTTTTATAAATGCTTAATTCATATTATCTATGATTGTTTCTACTCAGTCATATTGAGATATCTCCCCTTCATGGATTACAGCCTTATTATTGCAAAGGGGCTTGTGAAACTCAATAAAGCTATGAGCCATGCCATGCAGGACCACCCAAGATGGACAAGTCATAGTGGAGAGTTCTGAAAAAACGTGGTCCACTGGAGGAGGAAATGGCAACCCCCTCCAGTATTCTTGCCACAAGAATCCCATGAACAGTATGAAGAGGCAAAAATATGATACTGGAAGATGAGCCCTCCAGGTTGGAAGGTGTCCAATATGCTACCGTAGAAGTTGTTGTTGTTCAGTCTCTAAGTCACGTCCAACTCTTTGCAACCCCATGGACTGCAGCACACCAGGCTTCCTTATCCTTCATCATCTCCCAGAGTTTGCTCAAACTCATCTCCATTGAGTTTGTGATACCATCCAACCATTTTATCCCCTGTTGCCCCCTTCTCCTCCTGCCTTCAATCTTTCCCAGCTTTCAGAGTCTTTTTCAACAAGTCCCCTCTTCACATCAGGTGGCTAAAGTATTGGAGCTTCAACTTTAGCATCCATCACTAGGGAAGAGCAGAGGGCAATTACTAATAGTTCTAGAAAGAGTGAGTGATTGGTCAAAGCAGAAATGATGTTCAGTTGTGGATGTGTCTGATGGTCAAAATAAAGTCCAATGCTGTAAAGAACAATAGTACATAGGAACCTGGAATGTTAGAAATCAGTGAACTAAAATGGATGGGAATGGACAAATTTAATTCAGATGACCATTATAACTACTACTATGACAAGAATCCCTTAGAAAAAATGGAGTAGCCCTATAGTCACCAGGAGTCTGAAATGCAGTATTTGGATGCAGTCTCAAAAGCGACAGGATGAGCTTGGTTCATTTTCAAGGCCAACCATTCAACAGCACAGTAATCCAAGTCTATGTCCCAACTACTAATGTGGAAAAAGTTGAAGGTGACTGGTTCTATGAAGACCCACAGGACCTTCTAGAACTAACTCAGGAAAAGAAAAGAAAAAAAAAATCCATTTTCATCATAGGTGATTGGAATGCAAAAGTAGGAAGTCAAGAGGTACCTGGCATAACAGGCATTTGAGCACAAAATGAAGCAGGGAAAGTCTAATAGAGTTTGGTCAGGAGAACACACTGGTCATAGCAAATACCATTTTCTGACAACACTACAGATGGACATCACCAAATGGTCAATACCAAAATCAGATTGATTATATTCTTTGTAGCCAAAGATGAAAAAACTCTACACAGTCAGCACAAACAAGACAAGATTAGGAGCTGACTATGGCTCAGATCATCAGCTCCTTATTTCTAAATTCAGGCTTATATTGAAGAAAGTAGGGAAAACCGGTAGGCCATTCAGGTATAACCTACATCAAATCCCTTATGATTATACAGTGGAAGTGACAAGTAGATTCAAGGGATTAGATCTGGTGGACAGAGTGAAGAACTATGCACAGAGGTACATGAGGCAGTGACAAAAGCCATCCAAGGAAAATAAATGCAAGAAGGCAAAGTGGTTGTCTAAGGAGGCTTTACAAAGAGTTGAAGAAAGTAAAGAAGTGAAAATCAAGGGAGAAAGGGAAACATATACCCAACTCAGTGAAGAGTTCCAGAGAAGAGCAAGGAGAGATAAGAAGGCCTTCTTAAATGAATACCACAAAGAAGTAGAGGAAAACAAAAGAATGTGAAACACTAGAGATCTCTTCAAGAAAACTGGATATATTAAGAAAACATTTCGTGCAATAATGGGCATGATAGACAGAAGCAGCTTCTACCTAACAGAGGTAGAAGATTAAGAACAGGTGGGAAGAATATAACAAAGAACTATACAAAAATGGTTTTAATAATTACTATGGTGTGGTGTGGTCACCAACCTAGAGCCATACATCCTGGAGTCTGAAGTCAAGTTGACCTTAGGAAGCATTATTACAAACAAACTTAGTAGAGATGATGGAATTCCACCTGAGCTCTTTAAAATGCTAAAAGATGATATACTGTTAAAGTGTTGCACTCAATATGCCAGAAAATTTAGAAAATTAAGCAATGGTCACAGGACTGGAAAAGGTAAGGTTTTATTCTAATCTCAAAGAAGGGCAATGTCAAAGAATGTTAAAAATACTGTACAATTGCATTCATTTCTTATGCTAGTAAAGTTACGCTCAAAATCCTTCATGCTAAGCTTCAGCAGTGTGTGAACTAAGAGCTTCCAGATGCACAAGCTGAGTTTAGAAAAGACAAAGGAAACAGAGATCAACTTTCCAACATTTACTGGATCATAGAAAAGCAAATGAATTCCAGAAAAATATTACTTCTGCTTCATTGACTAGGAGAAAACCTTTGACTGTGTGGATCACAACAAACTGTGGAAAATTCTTGAAGATATGGAATACCAGATCACCCTACCTGTCTCCTGAAAGACCATTATGCAGGTCAAGAAGCAACAGTTAGAATCAAGTGTGGAACAAATGACTGGTATAAAACTGGGAAAGCGCGGCGAAGAGGCTGTATGTCGTCACTTTGTTTGTTTAACTTACAGGCAGAGTACATCATGTAAAATGCCAGGCTGGATGAATCACAAGCTGGAATCAAGATTGCTGAGAGAAATATCAACAACTTCAGAAATGTAGATGATACCACTCTAATGACAGAAAATGAAGAGGAACTAAAGAGCTTCTTGATAAAGGTGAAAGAAGAGAGTGAAAGAGCTGGCTTACAACTCAACTTTTAAAAAACTAAGATTATGGCATGAGGTTTCATCACTTCCTGGCAAATAGAAAGGGGAAAAGTGGAAACAGATTTCATTTTCTTGGGCTCCAAAATCACTAGGAGGGTGACTGCAGCCATGAAATTAAAAGATGCTTGTTCCTTGGAAGGAAAGCTGTGACAAAGCTAGGAAGCATATTAAAAAGCAAAGACATCACCTTACTGCCAAAAGTCCGTATAGTTAAAGCTATGCTTTTTCCAGTAGTCATGTATGGATGTGAGAGTTGTACCATAAAGAAAGCAGAACCCCAGAGAATTGATGCTTTTGTACTGTGGGGCTGGAGAAG